GTTTTAAGTACACTTTGTTATGCCCTGCATGTTTAAGTATTAAATTAGTCTATAATATTGGCTTACGAAAGAGTAAAAAAATGTATTGAAAAGCAAATGATTTGAGTTTTTAAATGTTCTTTGGAATACATCGGGGCAGAATTTAAGGCCAATTAGAGTTGGGCAACGCTTGAAGGGCTATTCTAGGGTCTTTCCACATTATATGCAAAGACGGAATATCTTAAACATTTCCATAAGTATGAATCTATTGGGAACTTACAGATAGACGAAACATATATTATTGCGTATGTATTATACTGATTAGGGATATTACAAATATTACGCTTAGCTAGCAGAACTTATCGATAAATCGATTAATAGCCAAATACAGAAATATTATTCATATTTCAAGCTTTTTTGTAAATCGTGCCCAGTTAAATAATTGTTGAATGTTGGATTGGAATTGAAGCAGCCTGCAGGGCATATGGCCTAATATTAATAATCGATCATAATCGCCTATCGATAACTACACGTATAATTCGAACTTGTTCAAATAAATATTTAAAACTGTGCGTTTCATCAGCAGCTCACTTAAGTTAGCTCTCACTTTAATTAATAGCAATAAATAGTTTCCGCCACTGGATCGAATTCCAACTCCGGTTCAAGGTTGGGCTGCACTACCAGTTGCAGCTTCGATTTCGGCTCCACTCTCGGTCTCTTGCTCTAGAACCAGTCACTATATCGGTTCCAGATCGGTGTCCAGTTCTACCTTTGGTCCCTGTTGCACTTGCAGTTCAGGTTCCGGTCCTATTTCCAGTTCCGACTCCAGCTACCGAAGCTCACCTCACAGTTTGAGCCGGCACTCGGGCAGCGTTGACTCGCACGGCTCCGTTTCGGGCGGCCGGGTGAGCGGACTGCACTGAGCATCCGCTACAACAACATCGTGCTGATCGAGGCAGACAACTGAGCGCCGACGCTGAGGCATGGGAGCGCCTGGCTGGCGGCAGGTAAGCGGACAGAATTGCCAAGGACCAGGCCACCAATGGGCCGGACAAGGCTGCTCAGCGCAAGCTCGCGTCTGCCTCGAGGGTCGCTTGTTCTTTGCGTGTGTCCAGCAGGGCAGCTTGTCGGCGATCACTGGAAATGAGAGCAGAGATTGAAGAGCGTATCGTTGAGCGAGCGAGCGATGGGTGAACCTACACTTGCCATTCTCCAGGCAGATGGGCTCTCGATGCTGAACGCCGCCGCCGCAGCTGGCCGAGCAGGCGGTCCAGTTGCTAAGACGCCACTGATGCTGCCGTCCGCTGGTCACATTGAAGGCGGGCAGCGTGAACTCGTAGTAGATGCCCGTGTTGCTCTCATTGCCCCGCACGATAGCCTGCAGAACAGAATATTTATAGATGTGGTATATATGATATATAATGGAGGGCTTCACTTACGTAGAGCGCTATGGCATGCTGTATGGGCTGAGGTATTTTGATGGTCTCCTGCTCGTCCTGCCGATCGTAGAGGCTCTCGGCTCCAGCGATCTCGAATTCGCCGGGCATGGAGATCAGGCTGTCGCCGTTCAAGTAAAACTTATCGCCCTGCGCTCGCCCGATGGCCAGGAAGTGCGGCGCATTGGCCAGCTCCTTGATCAGTATGTGTCGGGCCCGAGCCGGTATGGTGACGATCTGCTCGTAGACGCCGTCGCTCACATTGAAGGCCTCACTGTAGATCTCCTTTATGGGCTTGCATTGATCACCAGCACCGCCACAGACACCGCAACGATCGTCCTGCATGTCCGAGTCAACGATCCAATCGCAACCAACTTTCTGAATGAAACGCTTGTTTAATTGATCTCGCCGAGCAGCTGGGCCAAAGCGTGACTCTGGGATGGTGGCTCGCACTTACCTTGCAGATGCCGTCGATGCACATGTTGTTTGTGCCCAGCGTACAGGGCGTACCGTCGAGCACCGTCTCGCCCCAGTTGGCAATGATCGTGTCATCCACATCGCTGCACAACAGTCGACACGGGTTGTCTGCAATGTGAAACGCTCGTATTGTTATGTAGGGCTTGTGAATAGTAAATTTGAATTTAGAATGATTTGGGACTTTCACTTTTTATCAGTCGAAGAACCTCCCTTACTGCTGATGTGTCACTACTCATTATTTAGTCTATGTAGATTTGGCAGTACCCTTTGCACTTACTCTTGTCGAAGAAGGGCAGCCACTTGTAGGTGGCGCCCTGGTAGCTGACATTGTCGTAGCGCGCACACTGCTGGGCCCGGAAGCTGGGCTGGTTCTCGGGACAGGGCTTCTTGCGGCAGATCTTGTAGCGTTTGCGTTCGCCGATGCAGAAGACGCCGCCGTTGGCCGGTAGGGGGGAGTCGCATTCGCGCTGCTGTATGGAGACTCCGCCGCCGCAGCTGCGCGAGCATTCGCTCCACTCGCTCCAGTTGCCCCAGCCGCCGTGGATGGGCGTCAGCTCCTCCATGCGTACGCACTTGCCATTCTGACACCATTTGTTCTTGCCGCAGGCGGTGCCCGGTGCGGTGGGACGCATGTTGGTCACGCATTCGCCATTCACGCGGCACCAGAGCGTCGAGCAGAACTCGTGCGGAGCGGAACAGGCGCCCACATCGCTATCGGTGGTCAGGTTAAACTGCATGCGGCACTGGCGCTTCGCATTGTAGCGCTCGCCCGGTAGAACCTCCGGATAGTTGTACACATCCAAGGGCGTGGGTGGATCATCCAGGCACTCCCCCAGTCCCTGGCTGTAGCAGACAAGATTTGTAGCTCCAGCTATTGGCAATAGGCAATTAGAGTTACTGTCTACTTACTCCAGGAAGTGGGTTATGTATTTCCGGCTGCAGTTCGACCAGCAAACCTGCAGCGTATCCGCCCCAAACGTGGGCGTCATGATGTGCACGATGGAGCCCACACGTGGATGGCAGCCGATCTTGGCCGTGTCATGGAACATCCCAAAGCTAGAAGGAGAGTTAAAGCATTAATAAACTTGTATCTGATCATTGTTTATCTTAATCGATAATATGTGTGCCAACAAAGCAGTCTAAAGCTATCAAATGAAAACTATGTGACCTGCAATTTTATAATATTGCTTAATTTGGTGGATTTGAAAATGAACTAAAATCGATTTATCGATTTAGAGTTTCGTTAAAATGTTTCATAGATTATTATGCCGATAAACGTATCGATTTCAAGTTAAACTAAAATGTTATATCGGTAAGCCGCTTGAATTCGAGTAGAACAAAAATATGATATCGAGAAATTAATCTCATGTATCGATATATTGCAATTTTGAACCAATAAGTTTAGTGATTCCAGGCGAAACTTAAATGTACTTATGTGTCTCGACTCAACGAAAAAATGTATCAATAAACTTATTGGATAAAGGCTTAACTAATACAGTGTATCGATAAGCAACCTGATTTTACGTTTAGATAAAATGTCTTATCGATCTCTTTGGAATTGATCGTTATATTATAATCGATAAGGTTATCGATTTCTATCTTAGCTACAATTTCGTACAGATAGGTTTTTCACTTTCAGGCTTATCTAAAATTTTATAGCAACATATTTATCGATTTCAGTTATACGTTAAGTTTGGTTTAAATTAGTAAGTAAGTAAACCCTTTGGATTGCATATCGAATTTTAGGAATGTGACTAAATATATATAGGTTTTTGAAACTTGTAGTGCTTCCATATAATATTAATCACATAAAGTTCGACTACCTTAAGATTGACCTTATCGAACTCTTTCGAATCAAACTCAAAAATCTGACTTTAGCTACAAATCCATTGATCATCTTTAACTGCAATGAATGCTTAACGTAATTGCATAACTTGGAGCGGATCTTATATAAGCCCCCGTAGTGAGTCACTAGAGCCCACACACACACACACACACGCACAGAGAGAGGCCCTAAATCTCGATCAAAATTGTTGCAACTGTTGAGAAAGAGCATCAGTAGCTGACAAAACCCCCGCCGTCTCGCTTTTTTCTATACTTAATCTGTTGAGATTTATTGTGCACATTGTCTTTGCGAAACGAGAAACAAACGAGAAAATAAATAAATAATAATAATAATATAAACATCAACAGCAGCAGCAATTTATGCCACGCTCTGCGAATCTACACTGCGGGCAAGTCGAAAACCTGATTATTAGAATAGTGCTTAAACCAGCACAGTGCAAAATAAAAACAAGTAAGAAAGCTCTAGTCGAGACTGCTCGACTACGAGATCCCCTGAACCCTTGGAGCAATAGATATTTCAATAATTTTTCGCGTCTTTCAGCTTACACAAGGCATACATACACACACATACACACAAACACACGCATACACACAAACACACGCATACACACAAACGCATACATACACACACATACATACACACACATACACACACACATACACAAACAATTACANGATAAGGTTTTTCATCGATAAAAAAAGATCGGGATGAGTTATCGAATTTTAATGATAAACTCGATATCCGCGCTGTAATTACGAACATTTTACAAAAAATTTGAAGTCTCTAGCTCTTATATCTTCGGAAATCGACGCGTTCAAACATACGGACAGACGGACAGACGGACAGACGGACAGACGGACAGACAGACAGACGGACAGGGCCAAATCAACTCAGCTCGTCACCCTGATCAAGAATATATATACTTTGTGGGGTCTGCCACGCCTCCTTCTGCCTGTTACATACATTTCAACAAAACCATTATACCCTGATTTCCCATTTTCAATGGGTTCAGGGTATAACAAACACAAATGCACACACACATGAGTGTGTGACACATGCACACAGATAAAACACACACGCACACACACACACAGAGAGGCAGAAATAAGCATATCGTTAGCCAGCGGCTGGCACCTGACGATGACCGCGCGACTCAGCGACAATCAAACGTAAATTGCACAACAACAAACAAGTCGCAGTGATGTGCGCGACAAAGATACCCTGTAATGTTCATTTGCAAAATCAGCGCAGCAAGATGAAATGATGAAGCTGGTTCGATTGGCAGTTTAACTTATTATGCTATCGATAAAAATCGAGAAGATGATTGTATGATTGTAGATTTTATTTAGGCGAATAATAGAAATCGATAGAATTTCTTATTCAATCAAAGAGAGATATCTATTCCTATCAATTTTTTATCGATAAATTTCGATAGTTGTTCTTCGTTACACTAATTCATATACAGGAAATATATGTCAAAATAATAGCAATATTATGGATCAAATTATTTTGTAAGAAGATTTCTAAGAATACAACAAAGCTTTTAAGCTGAATATTATAGAGAAATTCAAAATTTTCGATAGACAGCTATTATTATCGTCTTATCGATCAAAATCGAATTTCTTAGTTGAGTTTCATACAAAGATAAATATATGATTTATCTTCATACGATATCTTGTATACAATAACTTTCTTGATAGACACATTCTCATAGAGACTCATAATTTAAATACTTTGGCAATTTATATATAGATCGATTTACTCGATATTTATTTCTTCCTTCCTTGTCCTATCGCTGATAATTAACATTGAGCAACTTAAATAAATTGAAGCTGAATTCTAGTATTGTCATAAGCTTCGATAGAGAAAGAGATTCAAGCCGAGCTCCTAAATAGTTGTAGCTTAAATAACATGGAAGGTGCTTGTGCATAGACTCTCAGCAATTATCTAGATTACAGGGTATAATGACGATTGTGTCAGTGCAGCCGCTGGCTGATCCGCCCGGCTGGTTGACTCAATCGGAACACGCCAGACTGACGGGCACTTGGCTGCGCTTATAAGGCGTTTTACAAAAATCCACTTGGCACGAACACCAAACGAGATAAGCCTACGAAACCGGACAACTGCGACAGCCACTGGCTGTGCTACCAAATTGCTACGTACCTCCGCATATATACATATATTGATATATGTGTGTGTGCGTGTGTATTAGAGATGGGCAAACAAAAGTTGCTAAATATTAAAATAATTAAAGTCTTTATAATATCGTTTTAAATGCGCTTTCGCTCGTGTAAGTGGATTTACGATATTATCTATTAATTCTTATATCAAAAACCTTTCCTAACTCTACTTGTTCTAGGTATTTTACTATTATATTATAAATAAGATAATTTTTTCATTAAAAAAAAAAATTGAGTTATGGCAAAATATTTTCTAATTTCATTTCATTTAAGTTTCGTTGAAACCTTTTCTTTTATCATCTCATTTATTGGCATAGTGAAAATATATATCAAATTAAAAATGTATACTTTCTTGGTTATAGGTACAAATAACTTAGCTTGTTACAAACTTTTTTAATTTCATATAAGTTAAGAGGATTTAGTTTCAGAAAGCTGAAAACCTTAATCTTGCTTGATTACTCCAAATTAATTATGTCTGTAAAAATTAAAACTCATATATGTTTGTATTACAGTGAATTAATTGATGTCATATGTGGAGAAGGATTATATATTCATTCATTCCTTTTTTACTCGAATACAAGTCACTATATAGCATCACCAAACTGGCAAAGCTTCAGTTTTAGCTTGACAAAAAAAGTAAAAATACTGAATTGAAAAAATGATAAAGACAGAAACAAAGACATATACAAAGATATATGTACATACATATCTATAATATATCTATAAAACTTTTCTGAAAGTGAACCTCATGTGAAAATATGTTTTTAGACAACTGAATATAGTTTCAATAATAATATAAACAATAATCATATGAATATATTTATAATAGATTGATTTTTTAAATAAATTCGAACCGAAATTTAGAGCACGAATTCTGAGCTGAAGCTSAAATGAATCAAATGAATAAATCTAAACACATATTTATATAAACATATATATTTATATGATATATGTTTATACCCATATGTCCATCTCTAGCACTAAACATGTGTGTGTGTGTGTGTGTGAGTGTGAATGTGTTAGTCACTGGTTCAGCGACTAATTGAGTTTGAATCGCGCAGCAGCAGGGCGGCAGCTACGGCAACTGCGGCTGCGCGGCAGTGGGAAGCGGGGAAGTGGGGAATGGGCAATGCAGATGCTGGTTGGAATGTGGCGGCCGGACGGTGGGGCGAGGTGGTCAGGGGAGGGGCGGACGCTCGTATCGACTGTGGGCGTGCAACGCAGGCGATCATTGTCACAACACACGCAGGTGTCAAAGCATCCGTCGCGTTCACTTAAAGCGGGCATTCATTCAGTTTCTTGCTGCTTGCTTGGTTTGTTTTTCTTGTTGTTGTTGCAGTTGTTGCTGCTAGTTTGATTCATTCATTAAACGAATTGGGCTGCACATAAATCTTGCGGCTGGCCAGCCGCTCAATTGATGCATTTGCATTGCGTTGGCCAAGCGACTGGCTGGGAAGTGCATTTCGATGTTGGCCAACATTGCGGCAGGGTGGGCCGGGGGCAGGGAGCAGGGGGCAGGGGGCAGGGGGCAGGGGATTGGGTGTTGCAGTACGGAAGTCAATTGGACTTACTTGTGGCCCAGTTCATGCGTGATCGTGTGGGAGAGCATGATGCCGTTGTCCTCATTCACGCTGCACGACTGCTTCGGCTTGCACATGCCGCCCACATTGGCCAGGCCCAAGGTCCTGCAAGGAGCACGCAGTTAGTATTAGCCAGGTGAGGCTCGCCTCGAGCCACGTTACTCACATGCAATTGTTGCCACAGATATTCTTGCGCGTGATCAGTATGGCCACATCGTGGTGATGGGGATCGTTCTCGTTGAGCGTGTTCAGCTTGTGCTGCCAGCTGCAGAAGCGATCGAGATTCCTTTGCGCGTTCTGGGTGAGATTCAGCTCCGGCTCCGTATCGTTCTCCTGCAGCTCAATGATGCGCACCACAACGATCTCGATCGCATTGCCGATGCTGGGATCCTTGTAGAGGGCGGAGACCATGTTCATGATGGTCAGCAGATAGCCGATGACATCCTTGTGGAATGCCGACATTGTCGCATCCGCCACGATCAGCGTCTCCACGTGCCGCGGGCTGCTGATCGAGCGACGACTGCGCTCCACGTGCGTCTGCTCCTCCAGCTGGGTCTCATATTTGAATTTCGTGTGCGGATGCTTGTACCCATGATGCGGATGATAACGGACCTCCTCCTGCTGCGGCTGATGCTGCTGCTGCTGATGATGATGATGATGATGATAGTGCTGATGACGATGATGATGGCGTCGCACCTTGCGACCGCCTTGTATCTTGAACTTGCCACGCGCCTGCCACTCGAGGCGCGTCTCCATGCGGCGCCTCGGCTCGCGTGTGCCACAATTGCTAACCGGACTGTGGTTCAGACTCTGGCTGTGGCTGTGGCTGTGGCTGTGGCTCTGATTGCGCGCTTGGCCCCTGTGCCGCTGCTCCTTGCGTCTGCGCTTATGGCGACGCCACTGCTGATCGGTCTGTCCCAATATAAAGACAAACATTGTTATACATGTATGTGTGCGTGCGTGTGATGGATCATCATCATTTGCTCGGCCTACCTTCGGCTTGTGCTTGGGCTTCACCGAGGACCGCTGGAACACCACATGCGGATGACCATTGAGCGGATGTGCCGCATGCTGCTTGGAGGGCTCTATGTAATACTCATTGCTGGCCGTCTTAATGTGACCCACCTGGAGAAGTAACGAAATACAGAAAAGAACAAAATGAGCAAAAATCAGTGCTTAGATAAATGACTTAAGCAACAAACTTGCTCGAAACAAATGACTTAGGCAACAAACTTGAAATGACGTATTGTAGATATAGATTGGACTTATTGTACTAAGCCATTTATCCTATCTATATCTTTATTTTTAAATATGTATTGCATTTGGAGGTAGAACTACATAAGGTCAGTTTCCGCATTGAGTCTTTTCTTCTATTTACATATGATTTGTATATCAAATAGGGGTGAACTGTACTGAACAGTATGTGAGGACTTATATGCATACATATGTGAGTATATATGTGAAGGATACGTTTCTAGGTGCCCATATATGTGAGAGTGTGTTTATGAATGAATAAATGAAGGCATATGTAAATACGTATGTATAAATTATATATTTATGAATGTAGACATGCTCATTTGTGTGTGTAGATATGTGAATGTATGTAGAAGCGTACATTAGTATGCATACAGCTATGCACGAAGTAGATGTATGTACGTATGCATATATGTTTATAAACAAATTAATGAATAAATGAACGTAGATGTAAATAGAGGTATTGAAATGTATCTATGGATCAATGTAGAGATTATCTGTACATATACACATTTGCATGTATGCGTGTACAGTTATGTGCGTATGCATATGAATAATGCATTTATGTAAATGTGATGTATACATGCATGCACATACATATGTATGCATATATGCATAATGTACGTATGTACACATGCTATCTTTACTATAGCAAGTTCACTTCCAGCACCCTTCTTTGCGATTCTCATGCTGTAATAAGTAATATCAATGAAGAATATTACTCTTTAGTCTCATATAATATCATTAAATCTCAGATCACGCCTTAAGATTTTTAGTTAGTTTAGTTTGTCTTTCGTCCAGTTCTTGGAAGTTCTTCTATGTGCACTCCATAATATCTACGCTCAGTTAGCGCTGGCAGTTACTCACCAGACCGGAACACGTGGATATGGCCACATTGGCCGAGGGCTCGCCGCGCACCTTGCCATGGAAATGGCAGTTGAGCTGCTGCGCTGGCGGCGGCGCACGTGAGCGCAGATCCCGACGATGTCGCTCCACAATCAGATGCGGCGCCAGGAAGTAGCTGTGAGCTCTGCGGTAGACAAATGCGAACAATTAATGGCGTGGAGCACGGCTGGAGCCATCTATCTCTGGCAGCCCACTTACGTCAGCTCCAGGTGCAGCGTCTCGTCACGCAGCGGCAGCTCGATATGCAGCTCCGGCTCTGTCTCGACGCTGCGTCGCTGCCGTCTGTGGTCCCGGTCGTGGGCGTAGTGGAGCGTATGCGTCATGAAGGCGCCATCGGCATGCACGCGCCGCGGCACCACCAGCTGCCCCTCCCCATCCTCCAGCTCGTCCGTGTGCACGCCAAAGAGCGGCTCGCTGCCGCCGTAGCTGAACCACAGGCAGATCAGCGTGCTCAGATAATATCGTCTCATATTTTGTGTTCTCTCTTTACTGATCTCTCACACTCTCTCACACACTCTCTCTCTCTCTCTCTCTTTTTCTCACTGTCTCTTATACTCTCTACTGTTGTGTTATTTTCTGGCTCTGACCTTCAGGCGCTTAGCCGTTGTCCATGCGTTTCAACAGCTTGGCAATTAGAGGGCACATGGCAGGCGCCCAAATCCGAAAGCGCCCTGGTCCAATTAGGGCATCAGCTATGGGAAATACAATTTATATTTACATATTGATATAGATACAGATATATACTATGTTCACATGTGTAGAATGGGGCTAATTAAGCTCTGCTAAAATATTTATGAATGATATGATCTCCCTATTGGAGCAAGTTCTATTCTCGTTTGTTAAGTTTTATTTTGAATTTCTTTGATAATTAGTCGCTTTGATTTACATTAGTATATTTACATTGATCACTTTATATAGCTATTTTCCAGACAAATCTGTCTGTTTGTGTGTTATACAAAACGGGAGAACCACAAACGTTACACTGCTCAACAAATATTTGAGTCCGGTTCTCTGAAGCTTTAGCATTTTAGAACGCATATCTAAAGTATCCCGTGTCAAATGACAGCAGCTGCTTAATAGATTTATTGTTGAATACCGAAAAACTCTTAGATTGAGTGAAAATAGTTTCCAGATAGTTGGAGTTAAGGCTTGCAGTTGATGGCTCGGGATCTGAGAGCTTTCTATATTAGTTAGTCTATGCAGCTAATGCTGTTTTATAAGATATTTATATTTATTGCAACTTTAATGTGAATTTAACTTAATTGAACATGATGTTAATTAATTTAATATAATATTGGTAGATTTAACATAAAAATTTTGTAAAAAAGTTCTGTCTTTAAAGCTTATTGTAATGTATTAAAGAGCTTTTGATTAAAATTGAAAGCTTATACCACGTTAGATTATTATTTATTTCAGTAGAAACTTTATGAAGAGAAGCTTTCAATGCCTTTTTCAATATTCATTGAGCTCTGGCTTTGTTCTGACTTTATGCTAAGACTTAAAAATTTAATCAAAAGCATCGTTGATTGAAAGCACCTAAAATATATTTTTTCACAGTACAAAAATAAACCATAAAATAATCAATATCTAATCATTATCTTACTAATAAGGTTGCTTTGGTAGCACTGAAATAGTTATATATATTTTGCGACAATAATAAAGAGGTATCTAGTAGTCGAGCATTTCAATAGTCTCTTTCATAGGGCAATTAATCCAATGATCACGTCGACGCCGCTGGCAGCAAGTGTCATTGCGATTTTGAGCACTTCGTTCGGTTGACAACAACAACAACAACCGACAACAATAACAACAACAACCAACAAGCAACAACAACAACAATTGACAACCACAGTTTGGGCCACCGTTGCAGGCAATGCATTCAGATTGAATTTCAATTGTGCGCATTTCATCAAAAGCTACTGCTGCTGGTGCTGCTGCTGCTGCTGTTGCTGCTGTTGCAACTGGAGGCAGTAGCAATTGTTGCTGCTGCGGCAACAATTTTTATGGCCGGGGCCTTGGCGCCAGGCATTTTTGATTGGCGGCTACGTTCAGCGACTGACATCGGATACAGGACACTTGCGCTGCCTAGTGCCATGAATGATGCAAGCCCGATCGGGCCAGACAACAATTATGGCATAAATTTCTACGAAAATATGCAACAACAAAAAGAGCAACAAAAGTGAAGAAAGAGAGAGAGAGAGACAGAGAGAGAGAGAGAGAGAGAAAATGCTATTTCCAGCTAATAAATAAAAGCTGATTTGCTTTTAGCTTTTTAGCGAATGCTGTGCTGTATGTGTGTGTGTGTGTATGTGTGCGCGATTTTTTCTCCTCTTTCTGGCTGCCCCACAGTGCCAGTCGGACAATGGACTTACCGAATTTCTAGCCAAGAAACTGGCAATAAAATAAATCAAATAATTTAAATGCGGCGCTTCAAAGGTAAATATTCAAACACAACAACAAGAGCGGTGTGTGTATGTGTGTGTGTGTGTGCGTGTGTAAGAACATATATGTATAATACTATGGTTTTTGTCTGCCTTTGTATGTGTGAATACATCTCTCTCTATCTCGCTCTCTTCCTCCCTCTCTCTATCTCTCTCTCTCTCTCTGTGCCTAACTGTCTGTCTGTGTGTGTGTGTGTGTTTCATAGCAAAACACGACAACTTAATTATTCAATCGATAAACAAATGACACGAAGTCAGAGAAGATCGCAGATCTGAGATCGTTGGCAAAGAGCTGGAGGCAGTGGCGAAGGGGGTTGGGGAGGTGGGAGGGGCGAAGTGGGGAGTCCGTCTGGCCTGTTTCACGATCACGATTTGTAATTTATGATAAATGTTGGCAATTCCATTAATAAAATTAAATAAAGCTCATTAGCTGGCAACAAACAAACGAAATGGCATTTTTTTTTTTGTTTTTATTTCCAAAATATATTTGGTTTTCTTTTATTTTTTATTTATTTCTTTTTTGTCATGCGCAAAACGTGTCGAACTAACGAAACTCTACAGTAGCTCGAAGCTCGCAGGCGAACTACGTATGCCCTATACTCGATTCTACTATTCATTTCATGAACATAAATATAAATATTTTTTGCAATTATTCTCGTTTTTAATACTATTAATAATTTCTTTTTTTTTAACTTTGCTCTTAAGGTTTTGGTTTTGGTTAATTTTTGAATCATCATTACTATCACTATTAGCAGTATTCTGTTTCTCTTTTCTCAATTATCATTATTATTTTTACAATGAAAAAATCTATGGAGCTAGATTAATAGAACTAGCGAGCCGAATAGAGACAAAAATTCTTGTAGAAGAAGTCTGAGAATTGCCTGGGGTCTGGAAACTTATTGAGAGAGTGAAGGGTTTCTTCAGTAGGCGAGCGGCAATGGCGAATGCAGTCCATCCCAATCTGACCTGACTGTACTCGTATCTCAACAATCTTATTATCACCGTCATATTATATTATAGCTATACTAGTATTATTTATATCTATCTCCATTTCCCACATTATCCATGACATTGTCCATGGACTCGCGCTCTCTGCTTAGAGTATCGAAAGATTTTTTGTGAGGCGCCTGTAGCAGGCGCCGTTATAAATTAAATTCAAATTGAATGAAAAAATCCAACGTGACAATAAAATTCCAGTTTCTGTGTCTCTGTCCAGTGTCCAGTTGCCAGTTGGCTGTTGCCCAGTTCTTTGATTTCCCGTTCTCGCAGTTGGCAAATATTTCCCAAACACAGCTGCGGCAAAACTTGAAAGATCCTCAAAAAATTAGCAAGCGCCGCCATATGACAATATGCTAAATACACTGCAGACTATCTCTCTCTCTCTCTCTCTCCCTCTCCCTTTCTTTCTCTTCGTCATACTCGCTCTCTCCTCTATGCCGGCTGTCGCCATCCGATTGCCCATTATGCTGCAGTGCGTCGGCTGGCGGGCGCCACATTTAATTATCAATCAATCACATTTGACGGTTCCCTCCATTAAATGTCAGCCAATTGATTGAATTTTTTATTTGGAGAACGACAAACTGCTGCGCTGAGCTGAGCCAATGGCTTGGCTATGGCTATGGCTATGGCTATTATGGCTGCAGCTATTACCCTGCTCCTATGCTCCTGCTCTTGCCCCTGGCTCTGCCCCCGCCTCTGTCTCACTCAGCCACTCTCTGCACTCGCTCATGATTGATCAATGCCGTTGTCTGGCTGCGCTGATTGATGAACTGCATGCGAGTGCCTCGCAATTGGTATTTTGCAGCCTGAAGCTCAGCTCCACTCAGCCAATCTCTGCTCCTCTCAGATGGAAATTAGTATTTAAATCGTGAAATCTGCATGGAAATGCTAAATCCATGTTGATAGTCTTGTTGGCTCCCCATAGTTTTTATTTCTCTCTCAGACTAGGCAAATAGACCTATTGACTATTGCCTATTTAAGTATAATCTTATACTTAGAAATCAATTCGCCTGATCCCCCTATTTCAAGAGAAGAGTCCTTTTCAATTATTATTAATTATACCTATTTAGGAAACTGAAATGAGTATATTGGTTTTTTGCAACGTCCGTCAGTCCGCCTATCCGTCGCTATTTAAGCTAGAGACTTGAAATTCGGTATACATTCTTGAGTATGCCCGCGTCTTATAAAGTCTTAAGATTTTTCCAATACGTCTACTTGGGGCGTGGCAAATCGGAAAACACTATGCTCAGAAAATTGACTATTTAGAGGGCTAGAGACTCGAAACTTAGAATGTGTTAAAAATTCAAAATAAAAATGCAACGTGATAGATAGGCTAATTCTGTTTTTTTAAAATACATACAAATAGCTGGAAAACCTGGAATATACTAACAATATACTAAAATATACTAAAAGAATAGAGTACATCAACATCATACCACTTATAAAAATAAAAAGCCTATAGAAATGCGATATTAGACAAAGAATTTTAGTTACTAAAGATACTTCCTCTCTCTCACCCTTTTTTTTCTCTCTCTCTCTCTTTCTCTCTTAGAAAGGCGATTTTCTTTTTAATCTCGATAAGTATCGGTTTTCTTCTCTTTCAGCCGATACATTTGTCTCTATAGGGTTTTTATAAATAAATTTCCTTGGATTATAAAATCGCAATGAAGAGACGGTAGGTGGGGAAAACAGCTACAGATGAATACATATATTTAGATCATACCTATCATGTGATCGATCGTTGACTAAGCATGAGTTTGGTATTAAGCGAAATTCGTATTATGCTGGTGAATCATTTGGAAGAGCATTTAGTGACCCACGCTTCGCATGATCTCACATAGTTTCTCTTATTAGGCCGTTTTCCTCCATTGCCAATTTCACTCTAGTCCAAATGTGATTTAGCTCCATTGAGTAGCGAACACACACACACATATGCAGAGACTTCTTATATGCTTATTAAATTTATTATTATTATAAGTATATAAATTTATTTACTTTTTGTCAATGGCCGGCGTTGGCGTTCCAAAATTGACATTTGTCAACAGCTTTGTTGACGCTTTGCTTAATTTATTGGCCACGTTTTGTCGTTTTGTCGCTTTACATTTGGCTCGGCCGCTCGATCACATCATCATCTCGATAATGATCACCAATAATGATTATCATTTGTGGGGCAAACACAACAAGCTTCGAGCTGCGAGCCGGTGTGCTGCTAGCTCTACGGTTAGCTCATCTCGGCTTTGTATGCAAATAATGCGACCAAAAAGAATTCAACGAACGAAAAATGAAATACGAATAGAACAAAGATTCCAGGAAAGCAAATAGAATAATAAAACCCCAAGTAGACCCTTTTAAGAATATTGATATTCTTTTTTTCAAAATCAAGTAGATCTAAAAACTTATTCTCAAAATATCTGGGAGAGGTTTATAACATTCGAATATCCAAAGGACTATATTATCTTTCTGCGTCCTTATCTGCATATTTCCTTCTTTTTCTCTCAATCTCTACATCTCTCACCCCTTTCTCTGTATCTCTCTCTATCTCTTTCGCTCTCTCTCTCTCTCTCTTTACCCCGCATTCATATTTTTTTCTCCTGGTAATAATAATATTATTCGTTTAATTTATTTTTTCAAAATTTTGCAAAGGTTCTGAAAGATTTGAACAAAATTTCAATCAATATTTTCTACACTCAACAATTTCCACAGATTTCGAGAAATCTATAATGGCTTTCACTCGTCTAACAGTTTAAATGACTTAAAAACTATTCACAGATTTTCAGAACCGGCATTGCAAATTAAAGCATTTTCTATAATGTTTGCAACACTTTGCCAAAGTCATAGATATTTATGTCCATAGAATTCCAAGATATTACAAAGTTTGTAGAAGTTGTAGAGATCTATGGAAGTCTGTGGAAATCCGAGAGGTCACTTAGATTTTTACTACAATTTCCTACAGCACTTTAAAAATTTCCCTAGTTTACCAAAGTTTCCCAAAAAGCTGTTGTAAAAGTCCCATTAAACTACCAATTATATTTTGAGGCTTACCGTAGATCCTCAAGGATTTCAAAAAGTATTTAACAATAATCACATCTGCACTTAATCGCTTTCAAGAAATTCAACTATTCTTAAAGACTTTCATGGATGACTAAATAAGTTTAAGTTTACCCAATCTTTCGGAGAACTTACAAAATCTAGATCTATACATATTTAGAAATATTCTCAAAGATCATTTGCGAAGATCGTAAAGAAACTTCCCGAAAAATAAGTAGCGAAGTGTGTGTGTGCGTGGCTGTGTGTGTGTTCTACGCGCTCCATTGGATAACATCTGCCCACGAGCCATATGGCTAAATCGTTTAGAAAATGGCAAATTATGAGACGCAGATGCAGACGCAGACTGAGGATGAGATGAAGAGAGAGAAGGGATGGGGGGAGTAGAGCTGTGCGAGGCCTGGCGGGCTTATAGAAAGATTTCACTTGGATGGCAAAGCAGCGACGAGACCAAAGCCAATTTGTACGCCTACCAGGCAGCACATACATAAAGAAAGAGAGAGAGGAGGGCGACAAAGAGAGGGAGAGAGAGAGAGAGAGAGAGGAAACTAAGAGACGTAGAGAAAGACCGACTCTTCCATATTACTGTGTGGCTTCATTCACATATTCTTTTTTTCATTCATGCGTCGTAGCTCCA